TTAGCTTTAACTTTAGCTGAACTTTAGCTGAACTTTAGCTCTACAAAAAGACTCAATTACAATAATTAGTTATCTATAACAGAATCTTCTTGAAATCTTTTCTTTCAGTTCGATCATCCCGAACTTTTCAACATCGTCATTGTGGATTTTTTTAATGAAGAATTTTGCAGACAAATTGTCAAATTGAATGATCGAAAAATGAAGAATTTGAGTTGATTAGCTGAATATCTTTTTGCTAATAGCTATTTAAATCCTTAAATTGAATGCAATTTTCATTTCTAAACGGGTATTTCACTGTGATACTGTCAAAGAAAAACGAATAAACTTTCAATGAAAATTTATCGTCAATTTTTAAATGTGAATTTAAATGCTGTATGCGAATTTTGAAGCTCTTTCTTTAGCCGATTGTTGATTTGATTTGGTCACGGTAGAGATTCCCCATGATTTGAGAGGTTTCGGGAAAACTCCCTGCAAAGCTTTTCCCATTACTAAGCGATAGGGTTTTGTGGCGAATAACATGACGAAAACATTCACTTGAGAATGAGTCGAGAACACCGCGATCATACCATATTGCAACACTGAAATTTAGCGCTAAAAAAGGATTACGAGAGGCCGATTTCATTAGTTTTTATACGAATCGATAGAGAAAGACCTCCCCCAAGATGACAAAAGTTTCTGAGACGGCACAGGTAAAGCTTGTCATCTTGGGGGGAGGTCTTATGCGCTGAACCATTGTTTAATGGACATTCTCATCTCGGAAATCTGTTGAACGATTTGTGTCGACTGTTATCATATTATTATTTTGTTATTTCTAGAGAGGATTATTTGAAAAGGTTAGCCTTTTTGTTAGATCGTACAATTGATTTACTTAAATCAAACCATATTGCAACAGTAGTACGTTACAATACAATTTTACATGTCAAAATCAAGGCTTATATGCAAAACAGACACTTACTATCGCTTTGAAATGCGATAAACGCACAAACGAACAAAAAACAAATAGCCTTTTTGTTAGATAGTACAATTGATTTACTTAAAAGCTGGTCAAGTTTCATTTTCATTCTCACAGTTCATTTTCAGAAGAAACTTCTACTTAAAGACTTACTATAAATTGTTGGTAAAGCTTGTTGTCATCTTGGGGCAAGGTCTTATGCGCTATGAACCGGACGGCCATCTGGTATTGGCGATCTGGCCAATCCCGGATTTTCTCTAATCGTAGTGCACCCGGGCGAGCCGAGTTGATGACTATTTTACGGTTTCGAAGCTTTTGCAGAAGCTCAACACTCAAATCCCTCACAAGATCTCATCGTCAGCTAGGGAAAGACTTTACTCATCTAATGATCTCAACAATGTCCCAATTCAACACCTCAATCCAAACATATTTAAGCTTAAAGTTGGATTGGTGCACTGGAAGAGATGTGTTTCCCATTTCGAGCTATTTCCTATAAATGTACACTCAGTAGTACGTTACAATACAATTTTACATGTTAAAGTCAAAGCTTATATGCAAAATAGACACTTACTATCGCTTTGAAATCCGATAAACGCACAAATGAGCCCAATTGCGACTGGGAATGAATAGACGATGAATGGGATTAAAGCCTGGAAAATTTCAATGAATTTAAGATTACTTTAACTTGAAACTTGTATGAAAAGAGCTCTGACGAAATGTCGATGAGCTTTCAGTGTTGATGGACTCTTTGTAAAAGTGTATTGTCGGAGTAAACGAATGATTTGAAAAATGACCAAAGCGACGATTAGATTGAAGAGAAGCACCTGCAATTTGTATATTTATTTTATTTGCATATTATAATTTTCAACTTTTCCACCTCAAAAAACCACATTAACATGATCTCGGAGGAGTTTCCGATTGACGGTGGAATGATCACCCAATTCGTGTATGAGAGAAGGTTCAAAGAGTTCGGATAGTACTGTAAAGGACTTTCCAAGGTGCGGTAGTTCGTTGTATTTGTTTTTGGTACACTAACTAGTCTGTGTCGTGAGAGGAATCAAGAGTTAACTGTGCCGGAAAGGATGCGTTTCAATTTCGAGCAGAAAGTACAGTACCAAGTTGTACTGGATGTTGTACAGGATGTTGTACAGTACCAAGTTGTACAGTACAAGTTGTACAGTACAAGGTGTACAGTACCAGGTTGTATAGCACCAGTACAGTACAAGTTGTACAGTACCAAGTTGTACAGTACAAGTTGCCCAGTACAAGCTGCCCAGTACAAGTTGTACAGTACCAAGTTGTACTTTTACCGTTCTAATGTACTCTTCTTGTACAGATCGATCAAGTCTCGATACGTAGATCATAAAAATATTTGTAAATGAATAGAAACCGTGTAGTAAGGCACAGATCTAGGTAGATAATGATAAGCCAAGAGAGGCCAGGGATTTACAATCAGATTCTAACGCTTAGACCAGGCTTTAGCCGAAAATACTTACCAAAAATTTCCTCATCCGTGTCGCGTACCACCATTTCTCCTCTTCGATTATCCACAAACGATAAAAGAAACAATCGACGAGTGATGAGGTTAAATTTTCCATAACAACGAGCGTAGAGATCTACAGAATTTCTATAGAATATTACTCAGTTTTGGCTCACCATTTCCACCCAAATCCAATCATACGATGTTTTCGCGAAAACACACGATGTTGACATGTAAATACCCTGAAGAGGGAGAAGAAAACCCGGACAGAAAAGCCAATTCATCAGTATGTCCAGGATGAAAGACCAAAACTGATGAAAAGCTTTGAATACCTTTGAATACATCCACTTTCTTACCAGTAATTGCAATAGAAAGTATTTATAAATAATCATATCTTTGGATGAATGCCAGAGAATCATATAAGCACCAAAGGAATTGATCACGATTGTCACATAGCCATTGTAATACCAGAAGAGCTAGGACAAGGGGTAAGCTTTGAATGGCGATTCGGCTTCTAGTTTTTCTCATGGAGCTCTGAACGAACCCAGGAACAAACACCAGAACTTGGCTTATGGTCTAGTCTTGCCTGGCTGACAGTAGAGCTTTTTTGGGTTCTTTATGTACCTGTAACCATTGTGGATCTTCGGCTGAAATCACTCGATAACTCACTTGGTCAATCATTTAGAATAATAAAAGAATAATAAATGAAATTGAGGAAATGTTGACTAATGTTAAGATTGAAATTTGAACTTTTTTCGAATTTTGCGTAACTTCCAACATTTTGCCTATAATTTTGAATCTAAAAGCCTATAATTTTGAGACAAAGATTTTCCAAAAAGTCATAGAAGGAAGTTCCTCCAAATTTCACTGTTTTTTTGAACCCGGAAAATGAAAAATTCTAAATTATAGTGATTTCTAAGCAAATTTTAACTAAATTATAATATCTTTAGTTATACAGAGCGACCAGAAATTGCGTTGCGGGATTTTCGGCAGCCTAAAAGCAAGTGGACGAGAACGAGGACGAGCTGGGAACGCACAGGTTAAAATTTATCACCTCTTTCGCTCGCTTCACTTAACGGATATTTTATCGTTGGGATTTTTAGCTCAACGGTGATTCTCGCTAATCTTTTTTGTTTAGATAGATTCGTCACGAATTCGTTCGTTACAAGTACTTATTATTACTATTACTATTACTTATTAGACTCTCCGGCTTGCAAATGTCGATTTATTTATGTTGAAACTCTATTAAAGTATCAGATTTTTGTTTCAATTCTAGTTGAACCGAGAAACTCTTTGAATTCGAATGTTTGCGCCATAATGAACGCACCTAAAAACGCCATAATGAACGCGCCATAATGAACGCGCCATAATGAACGCGCCATAATGAACGCGCCATAATGAACGCGCCATAATGAACGCGCCATAATGAACGCGCCATAATGAACGCGCCATAATGAACGCGCCATAATGAACGCGCCATAATGAACGCTATTGGTTTCACTCGATCATTTTTGTGTACTTCGTTGGGAATTGGTTTCAATTTGGAAAGTAATTTCGAAGCTTTAAAATTGTAGATCCGAGCCAAATGGACACGAGAATGGGTAGAGAAGAAAAATCGTCGAAAAAGGAAGAACATTTCGAAGGTTATGATCATTTATGAAGGCCAATCATCTTCTCAAAATTTCTTATTCCGTCTCAGAACCTTTTGTCATCTTGGGGGGAGGTCTTATGCGCTGTGAACCATTGTTTAACGGACATTCTCATCTCGGAAATCTGTTGAACGATTTGTGTCGACTGTTATTATCGACTGCTATTTCTGGAGAGGATTATTTGAAAAGATTAGCCTTTTTGTTAGATAGTACAATTGATTTACTTAAAAGTTGGTCAAGTTTCATTTTCATTCTCACAGTTCATTTTCAGAAGAAACTTCTACTTGAAGACTTACTATGAATTGTTGGTAAAACTTGTTGTCATCTTGGGTGGGAGATCTTATCGCTATGAATCCTGTTCTTCAGCACTTCAGACCATGGGATTTTACCTAGTCTTGTTCTGACTCAGGCGCACGGAGAACATCCGCTGCCATGATCCTTAGCAATTCATAGCGGATAAGATCTCCCCCCAAGATGACAAAAGGTTCTGAGACGGCACAGCTAAAGCTTGTTGTCATCTTGGGGCGAGGTCTTATGCGCTATGAATCCTGTTTTTTTTGGTGATTTGTTGCATTAGAATGCTTCCGATCAAAAGATCCAAACCAAATGGACACGAGAATGGGTAGAGAAGAAAAATAGTCGGAAAACAAAGAACATTTTGAAGGTACTGATCATTTATGAAGGCCAATCATCTTCTCAAAATTCTTCTCAATTCTTAGCTTTTCTTAACCGATTAGAGTGAAATGTTGTGCTTTGTTGAGATAAAGAAGTGAGCTTTTGTTGCGAAGATCGAAGATAGCTTTGTATTTATTTGTATTTATTTGTATTTGTGCAATTTTTAGCAGTTAAACATTGAGATTTCGAAAGTTTTATCAAGCATCCAATCATTCATCCAATCATTCATTCAATCTTTTCCTTATCCCATTCCAGTGCTTGTGCACGCGGCATTGGCTGAAGTGAAACAGTCCGTGTTTATCGTTGTGTTTACGTTTGCAGTCGTACAACAGAGTCTAATTCAAATGAATATAAGGGAAAGGGATTTGACATGAAGCTTATACACAAATCTTTTCCACGAATCTTTTCCACGAATCTTTTCCACGAATTCTAACTTTTCCTCACCCTTTATAGTCGGTGTTGGTCGTTTTCGGGTTCGCGCAATTTCCCCTCAACGATGTGCATCGACTAACGCATTGATTGTAGCAACCAGTGCCCTGCCAGCTGGAAAAAGGCTTTGAATTTGTGCTTAAACACACCAATTCGGAACACACCAATTCTGATTCGTTTTTCTGATCATTTCTCTAATTCAAAATCATTTCCACAACTCACAAATGCGATCCTTGTCCAATCGGACAATTGCACAATTGCCAGCCCTTTCCTTTGAAGTTGAAGCCAGTCGAAGTTGAGATTGATTGACCGGCACAGTAATCCTGAAGGTAAACTTAGATTTTATAGATTTAAATTTAAACTTACAGAACAAGCCGATGTTTTCATGGCCGTATTATAAGTAATCGGCAATTTTGTGAAGGCGGCAGCGCTGAATGCGACGAAGAAGAAGAAGGAGAAGAAGAAGAATCGATTCTGAAAACATTTTTGCATTTTACAATACATTGATCAAGATTTATAGCAAGCTACAGTAATCCGCTACACTTTTGTCGTTTCTTTTTAGCACTAGTTGGAGCCCCGTTACCCTATTCATCTCCTAAACTTAGCAGTCTAGTCCTACCGTAATCCTGTCAAAGTTACAGTAACCCGGGCCTCAAAGCAGGGCCTCTGACTGATCAAAAGCCCAATCTTCAGCCAAAATCTATAGCAAATCCACTACAATAACCCTACACACAAATACACTTTACAGAACAACTAGCAAGTATCCATCTAGCAAACTAGAAAGTAGCCAACACAAGCTATCCACAGCTACACTCTCCCAATGATCTCCCAATGATTAGTCCCCAAGCCATCCATCTTAATCCAACAAAAACCCTTACAGCACATTTACAGAAATCTACAAAAGGCTATAGAGATCACTCTAAAGCTACAGTAACCGACCATAGTCTTTTAGAAGAGTCGGCGAGCTGTGAAGCGGTCAAACACTTGCTGTCAATGTCCGCCCTCAATCCTTCCCTTTATATCCTCCAATTCCTTTCCATGTCCACCCATAAAAAACATAGCAAAATTCTCCTCAAATCTTGCCCATAAAACCCTTTTCCATAAATGATTTGTTGACTTTTTCGAGTACAAACTATTCACTTTTCACTCAGCCATCACCACTCTAATCGATGCCCATAAAAATGCTTGCAAGTTTTACAACCGATAAGAACTTTGATGTAGAAAAAAAAGGTATGCCCATGAGGTTTTTAGGAACGATTTTTGTTCATTCAACAACTCTTTGACTTGATAATTGGTCACGCACGGTCGATAAGTCAGCTGTTTGTTTGGGGAAATCCGACTAGATCTCTGTTCTTTGTTTTTTGAAAAACACCCTGTTTTGCTTTGAAATGAATGTTGACGTTGATCGTTTTGATAAGCCTAGAGCCTCATTTGAATCTCTAGGTTCAGTTGGACTGCCTAGTCAAAAGCCAAGACAGAAAGATGACCGAACTGGAGTTAGAGTTTGTACAGTGCAGAGCTTACAGTTGTTCCAAGTCAATCCAGCTGGCAGATAAGCTCAGACTAAAATCAGTTAAGCCAGAAGTGGATACCAAGAACCTGGTCAAACCAAGAGCCTCGAACTAGGCTAGAACAATGTTAAAGTCATAGACGAGCCAAAAGCCAGCCTTGACCTAAGCCAAGAGTCTTCAGATCGAGTCCGGCTTTTAGTCTGACCCTTGATCAGCACAAGAACTTTGGTCTAGATAGTTGTCAGAAATCCAAGACAAATTCATAGACGAGCCGAAAGCCAGTCCTGGTCTAAGCCAAGAGCCTCCAGACCAAGATCTGGATCCTGGATCATCACAAGAACTTTGGTCCACATAGTTGTCCTTGATCCAACGCATGCTTTGGCTTATAACTCGGATCGGAAAAAATAAGACATTTGACCAGACAGATTGAACTTTGTTGAAAAAAACTTTTCCCATCACTTTTTGACCATTAAAAGTTACATTTTCAGTCACATTTTGAATACAAAAGCTTTGAAGGGAAACGTTTTTCAGCAAACTTGGCCATTTTACGATCAAGATTAACAATGGATTCACGTCAAAAGTCTTGCGATTTGGGAAAATGTTTGTTTTTTGAGGAGAGCAATTTTTTTTGCGATTTGAATGAGATGGACTGTAGAATGGACTGCAAAATATCAAATATACAATGTTTTTGCCTGTACTTTGAGCTTCAAGCTTGTAAACAAATCTTTCTAGTGCCTCTATTGCTTCATTCTTGAGTATTGGAGTGTTCTTTGGTGTTCTTTGGTGTTCTTTGGTGTTCTTTGGTGTTCTTTGGTGTCCTTTGGACTTCTGACACTGCCAGTAGACGCTTGGTTTAATTACCCAAGCCTTAATTTTCATTATCAACTGTAACTTTTATTTTTCTTGCTTGGATTTCGATTTTTATCCAGATCCGCTAAAGTAACAAGCTCCATTCGGGACAGAATAACACTGAGTTTCGATTGTTGTGTTGATATTAGCTGTCGAGCAACAGACACTGAAACATTACAGTACGTGACAGCTATTACAGCTATTACAGCTATTACAGCTATTACAGCTATGATTTGATCGACTGTTGAACTCACCCAGTGTTGTTCGAGCCGCCCGATTTCGCGCAAGTACCCCATGTATCCACACATCTCTGCCGGCATTCTGTGAAACAACCAGTGCCAATCCATCTCAAATTACAGTATTAGTGAAAGATCTTTAAACGAACTGTCCAGACAATTGAGCAATTGGGCAATTGCACAACTGCCATTGATTTGTAAGGAAGGGGAAGCCCGTCGTGACCGAGATTGATTGTCCCTTGCAATAATCCTAGACATTTCTTTCACAAGTATACCCTAGACTTCTTACTTGACAAGCTGATGTTCTCTCCGCAATCGTGTAGCTGTTTGGAATCTTCGTGAATCCGTAAGAGACAGCGAGAAGTGCAGCGATGAGGAGCGTTGAGTACGACTGAAAGTTCTATACGTTCTAAATGTAATTTCAGCTTTCAATTCACAGGTAGCTCCTAGAATCGCTTTAAAGAGTGTTATTTGGCGCTGAACTTGACCAGAGGCTTTGGCCAACTCCCCTGGCATGATCCAGCCTCCAGCATCAACCTCTCATGATCCAGCCTCCAGCATCAACCTCTCATGATCCAGCCTCCAGCATCAACCTCTCATGATCCAGCCTCCAGCATCAACCTCTCATGATCCAGCCTCCAGCATCAACCTCTCATGATCCAGCCTCCAGCATCAACCTCTCATGATCCAGCCTCCATCATCAACCTCTCATGATCCAGCCTCCATCATCAACCTCTCATGATCCAGCCTCCATCATCAACCTCTCATGATCCAGCCTCCATCATCAACCTCTCATGATCTACAGAGAACTTTATTATACATTATGGATTCCAGATCGATCACAAAAACAAGGAAATCACAAAAATCATTTTGCAAATCGAAATTCGAGTAGTGGAACGGGAAAATATTTCCAAGGTCACAAGGCCGAAAAGAAAAAAAGGAAGAAAAATTCTCACTTCTTTTTATGCAACCGGCCTCTGTCCGAAAAGAAACCGGTCGAAGAGTCGGTTTCAAAAAAAAAGAAAAAAAAGAACAATTTGAAAGTCACATACACCTTTCCATATATCCTTGATGAATTCGTTGATTTTTGGCGTCTCGATTTTCATCATTTTTATCACTGATTTTATGCATTTTAGCAACTTTTATGCAAAAAATAAGTATACTATGGTAAAAATATATAAATTTTCATAATCCGGTGTTAGTTTTTAAAAAAATAGCCCGTTCTCCGACTTAAACCGACTTTCCGACATTTGCAAAAAGTATAAGAACGCTTGGGACACCCTGTACCGTAGTTTGCTTTTTCTAAATCTTCAAATTATCTAAACAATTATAAACAACTATTTCTTTTACCACCAATAAAAAAGAATGTCCGTTAAACAATGGTTCACAGCGCATAAGACCTCTCCCCAAGATGACAAGCTTTATCTGTGCCGTCTCAGAACCTTTTGTCATCTTTGGGGGGGAGGTCTTATGCGCTATGAATTGTTAAGGATCATGGCAACGGATGTTCTCCGTGCGCCTGAGTCAGAACAAGACTTGGTAAAATCTCATGGTCTGAATTCCTGAAGAACATAATTCATAGCGATAAGGCCTCCCCCCAAGATGACAAGCTTTACCAACAATTTATAGTAAGCCTTCAAATAGAAGTTTCTCCTGAAAATGAACTGTGAGAATGAAAATGAAACTTGATCAGCTTTTAAGTAAATCAATTGTACTATCCAACAAAAAGGCTATTTGTTTTTTGTTCGTTTGTGCTTTTATCGCACTACTATTAGAGAAAATTCGGGATTGGCTAGATGGCCGTCCGGTTTCGGCCAGATGGCCGTCCGGTGCATAAGACCTCCCTCCAAGATGACAACAAGCTTTACCAACAATAGTAAATCTTCAAATAGAAGTTTCTCCTGAAAATGAACTGTGAGAATGAAAATGAAACTTGATCAGCTTTTAAGTAAATCAATTGTACTATCTAACAAGAAAGGCTAAACTTTTCAAATAATCCTCTCTAGAAATAACAGTCGATAATAATATGATAACAGTAGACACAAATCGTTTAACAGATTTCCGAGATGAGAATGTCCGTTAAACAATGGTTCACAGCGCATAAGACCTCCCCCCAAGATGACAAGCTTTACCTGTGCCGTCTCAGAACCTTTTGTCATCTTTGGGGGAGGTTATTATCGATTATTATAAAACTATAGAAATTGATTAATCTCACAATCCTTTTTTAGCGCTAAATTTCAGTGTTGCGATATGGGATGATCGCGGTGTTCTCGATTCATTCTCAAGTGAATGTTTTCGTCATGTTATTCGCCACAAAACCCTAACGCTTAGTAATGGGAAAAGCTTTGCAGGGATTTTTCCCGAAACTTCTCAAATCATGGGAAATCTCTACCGTAACCAAATCAAATCAACAATCGGCTAAAGAAAGAGCTTCAAGCTCAAGCTTTACCTGTGCCGTCTCAGAACCTTTTGTCATCTTTGGGGAAGGTCTTATGCGCTATGAATCCTGTTTTTTTTCTAGTTTTTTTTTCGTGATTTGTTGTGATTCGGATTGTGAAAAATTTTGCAATAATTTTGGATTAGAAATCTTTCAAAAAAGAGCACTTAAAACAAAACAAAAACACTTTGACGAGCTTTCTCATCGAAATTCTCATCAAAAAGTTGTTTAGATGCAAATTTTATACAAAAAAATAAGTAAAGTATAGTAAAAATATCTGAATTTTCATAATCCGGTGTTAGTTTTTAAAAAAAATAGCCCGTTTTCCGACTTAAACCGACTTTCCGACATTTACAAAAAGTATAAGAACTCTTGAGACACCCTGTACCGTAGTTTGCTTTCTCTAAAGCTAATCATTTTCTAATCATCATAACTGTCTAATCATTTTTTCAGCTAAATGACGCAAATATGGCTTTGGCAGCCATCCAATCACCCACCCGAGGGCCCCATTCGAGAAGATCAATACAAATGTGCATGTGGGCTAACGGCAAAGGTGAAAGACTCAAAACGAGAAAATCTGTCATAACAGAACGCCTAAGTTCTAACTAAATATAGAGAATTTTAAATAAAAAAGCTCATAAATCTCTCTTTGTTTTAAATCTAGCATTTTAAGTTTTGTTTTGACTTTACAAAGCAAATTTTGATCACAATCGGCTGAAAGTCTTTTGGTTGAAAGTCTTTTGGTTGAAAGTCTTTCGGTTGAGAGTCTTTCGGTTGAAAGTCTTTTGGTTGAAAGTCTTTTGGTTGAAAGTCTTTCGGCTGAGAGTCTTTCGGTTGAAAGTCTTTTGGTTGAAAGTCTTTCGGTTGAGAGTCTTTCGGTTGAAAGTCTTTTGGTTGAAAGTCTTTTGGTTGAAAGTCTTTCGGTTGAAAGTCTTTCGGTTGAAAAGTCTTTCGGTTGAGAGTCTTTCGTCTGAGAAACACAATCGTCTACGAAAGATTGACAATTAAAATTGAGTTCAGAAAGATCTTTGCTAATACTTTGCTAAATTCTTTGCTCCTAAATCTCCTATAAAAGCTAATTTCCAGTTCGGTTTCACTGTGTTCACCATCTTCGATATTGTCCTTTTGGTCTTCTCGATCATCGGCCTATTCATTGTTCCGTTTCTTTTGGTTTGTAAAAAGCAATGACAAGTAAAAGAAAAAGTTTAAAAATAAAGCAAGTAGCAGAAGCAAGTCTTTAGGTTTCTAGCAAGTAAGTCTAGCAGAAATCTATCTTGTGACATCCAGCTAGCTTGCCTATCATTTGTGGGAGTCGAATCTTTGATCCTTGGATCTCTGGTTGACACTCTACCAATTGACCCATCCAGAATTCCCAAACTTTTCAGAGAAGAGCTAACATCCCTGGAAATAGACTAATGACTTCCAGAAAAGCTCGTGAAATTGAATCCTCATCTTCTAGGCTTTTCAATTCCCCCTTGCCATCGGGATGATCGTTCTGGCTGTGATGTCGATTAAAACTCTTCGGCCATTCTTCATGCAAATCTACGGAATCATCTATGTGAGCTCTAGATAACTGAAATGAAATTAAAGTTTTAACTTTTAGATAATCGAGATGGTTTATTTGTTCATCGCTTTGGCGGCTATGTTCTTCCTCTTTGTTTTGACTGGATTCCTGTAAGTTTAGTTCGTGTTTTTCGATGGTAATAGGAATAAGAATCTGACGTGTGACATCCAGCTAGATGATTGATCTTTTGTAAAAGTCAATTGACTCTTGGCTTCCCGTGTCTGGCACTCTACCAATTGATCGATTGATCGACTCGACCATTGATCCATTCAAACTTTCCATATAGCGGTGAAATAAAAGGAGTCGAACCTGTGACATCCAACTAGATGCTCGATCTCTTGTAAAAGTCAATTGACTCTTGGCTTCCCGTGTCTGGCACTCTACCAATTGATCCATTCAGAGACTCGACCATTGATCCATTCAAACTTTCCATATAGCGGTGAAATAGAAGGAGTCAAACCTGTGACATCCAACTAGATGCTCGATCTCTTGTAAAAGTCTATTGACTTTTGGCTTTCCAGTCTAGCACTCTACCAATTGATCCATTCAGAGACTCGACCATTGATCCATTCAAACTTTCCATATAGCGGTGAAATAAAAGGAGTCGAACCTGTAGCATCCAACTAGATGATTGATTATTTATTAAACCCTGGCAATCAAAAGGAGATCGAAAATAAAAAGCTTACAGTTTGCTGTTTGTCAAAGTGCAAACTTCCGAGGAAAGGACAAACAAAAATATCACCGTGATCACCTCGTTTGGTGAGTCCTCACTCAAGGATTTCATTTTATTAAACCTTTTTCTTCAGTGGTCGCCATTCTCTCTGTTCTCACCGCTATTTTGGCTCTTTGGCGGTGCAAAGTGAGCTGGGAGTTTTACAAATATGTTAGGCGAGTTTTCTCAGATCTTATTCACTTTATCTTTCTAATTGGATATCACAATAGCAAAAGAACTTTTGAAAACATTTACATTTTCATTTTGATATTTTTAGAGACCGCCAGCTGGCCATTGAAAAGCAACCAAGCAACATTGGATTCAATCAAGTGGCTTAATAATAGAATGTAATAAATGATGTATATAAAAAACTAGCTCACAAATAAACAATGTTTTATTTAGCTTATTTATTAAATATTGTGTCTGCTACGGGTTTTTGGCTTGATCTGAAGCTAAGGGAAAGCACTAAGGGGAAGATCTGAAGGAAGCTAAGGGGAAGATCTGAAGGAAGCTAAGGGGAAGATCTGAAGGAAGCTAAGGGAAGATCTGAAGGAAGCTAAGGGGAAGATCTGAAGGAAGCTAAGGGGAAGATCTGAAGGAAGCTAATGGGAAGCACAAGCTAAGGGGAAGCACTTTTAAGGAAAGCTGTTCGAGTCTAAACGCTGCCATGATCCTTAACAAAAATTTCTGCTTTTTATGACCCCTATAAACGTTGTGTGCTAGAAAGGGGGCGAAAATTGTTTAGAATCGACAAAGAATTGTCGATTCTAAACAATTTTTACACATTTAAGCACAAAGTATTCTTTAAACACACAAAGTATTCTTTGCAATACATCAATTTCCCTAATTCTCCTTTAAAAGCACACTAGTAATTCGTTATTCAAAGCAAATTAGTTTTGATATTAAAGTAAAGCTTTTTGTACTTACAAATGTACATTCTTACTTATATTTTTTTTTGCACTTACATTACTTACATACATTTTTTGATAGCTAGATACAGGTTGGGGGTTTTTTTCGTTACATTTGAAGTCCGTTAAAGTATTGATGAAGCTGGCACAATGAATCGATTGAAGTCATTCATTTGATTGAGTCCACCAACTGAATCTTTAGCTGAATTTTAGCTGAACTTTAGCTCTACAACATGACTCAATTAAAATAATTAGTTACAACAACAATTACAATTATAATTACAATAACAATGGCTAAAGCTAAAGTTTCAGTTGGTAGACTCAATAAAATGAATGGCTTCAATCGATTTGATACAGAAGGATAGAGTAACTTTAGCTCTACAAAAAGACTCAATACAGAGAATTACAATAATTAGTTATCTATTACAGGATTCTCATAAAAATCAATTTTTCAACTTTCAATCATTCTCTGTAAAATCCCAGCATCAATTCATCGTTTGAGCTCAACGTCGATTCTCGTTGACTAATATTTTTGATTGCTAGATAAAGGTTGGGATTGTTTGGTCACATTTGAAGTACTGTTAAAGTATTGACGTAGCTGGATCAGTGAATCAATTGAAGTCATTCATTTGATTGAGTCTACCAATTGAAATTGGTTTCATTGAGCTTGGCTTCTTACGCTTCTGCATTCTTCTTACGATCAAAAGTTTAATTATAAAAAAAAACGAATCTAAAACTATTTTCCAGCATTCAAGCATAACTGTGACTCTTCAAAGATCAGTTTTTTGCAGCTTTTTGGCAGAAAAATTGCACAACCATCTCTCCTTTTCGACGCTTTTCCTTTTTGCGCCTTTTCCCTCCATAAATTGTGCAATATTTTCTTGATTGTGCAAGCTTGCCTCTAAGCTTTCTTTCTATATAAGAAATCTTTTTATCTTCTATCAAAATTCTCGATTATTCTCTCCAAAATGTCTTCTATTTTGGTAAATTCTTGTAAATTCTTCTAATTTTTCTTTTTAGGAACAAGATTTGAATGTGGAAATGTGGAAAATCAAGCAGATTATCAAGAATTTAGAGTCAGCAAGGGGGTTGGTCAAAGAAAAAGTCAAAGAAAAGAATTTTAAGACGTTTAAGACGATTTCCGGTCACTATATTCGTTTCAGATTTCAGATCACTCAAAACCCTTTATTGTACCTTAATTGAGCGATTTCTTCTCCAATAGACATTGCCCATTTCAGCAACGGTACCTCAATGATCTCATTGATAATCCCAGGCGGTGATCAAATTGCTTTTTACTCGAAAATGTTGGTGGAAGAGCATGGGACGGCGTCGAATATCAAATCGAGTGCCAATCGAAATTCCGTTCTTTCCGCCATTGCGTCAGTGCAAAATCGACTCAAGCTTTATAATAAAGGTATAAATATCTCGATTTTTACTTTAATCACTTTAGACCACGATAAATAAGGAAGGGATCGTATTAGAACAAAATAGGAATCGTATTGGAACCGTGTTGGAACCGTATTGGAACAAATAAGGAACCGTATTGGAACCGTATTGGAACCTTATTGGAACCGTATTGGAACAAATAGGAGTCGGATTGGAACCGTGTTGGGACGGTTTTGGAATCGTATTGGAACCTTATTGGAACCGTATTGGAACCGTATTGGAATCGTATTGGAACAGTATTGGAACCTTATTGGATCCGTATTGGAACCGTATTGGAACCGTATTGGAACCTTATTGGATCCGTATTGGAACAAATAGGAGTCGGATTGGAACCGTATTGGAACCTTATTGGAACAGTATTGGAACCTTATTGGAACAAAATAGGAATCGTATTGAAACCACAACATCA